ATTACCTGATTCACAATCTCGATAAGTAGTTCAAGTAACTGTGGTTGAAGCGCCGTAACTGAGATCCCACGCTGCCAGGTTTGCATGAGACGAGGAGCGTAATCAGAAAGATCATCGCTGCGAGTGAGGTGAAGTATAGTATCTGAGGAACTGCTCAGTATGAGGTAGAAAAATAGGGGTTAATCAATAGCTGCAATGATCATAGCTGCGTACCTAAGGCTGATTGTCTTACGCCTATGGGGACAGCTGAGTCGTCAAGTATAGTAAGAACAGGAGGAAGAACAAGATGGAGATGAGGCGTTAAGCAGCCAGAGAGTGATTTGACGCATAATAGAACCTTAAAATGGTAAATATGGAGAAAAATGGGCATAGTGACTTGATTCCCACCTGAGCTGTTAACTTTCTATCTTCACTCTTGTCAGTCTGAACCACGCGCAGCAGATATGGTATGAGCTCAGCAACATGCGGGGCAAATTCTTGCCCCATAGCCGTTCCTATCTGCTCCAATACGCTGACCACAGTAACTTTTACGTTTTGATCTTCGCTCCAAGCATCCTAGAACTTTTGATTTAGACAAAACGTGGGCCCTCGCAAAACCACTGAGATAACTTACAGCGATCAAGCTGAAAATCTGCTTCATGTATGGCTTAGCATGTACTTTTATTATAGCAACAAGACTAGCCAGCTGTCGTAAGAAGAATTCCCGATGTGACGGTCTTCCGCGACATGCTCGAGTTACTTCTATCAATCGTGGTACCACCTAGAATGAACTAGACATCTAAAAGAAGAGACGGTTGCAAAAGAATTTCCAAAAAGACAAGCTTTTGAATGACTCATATTTCTAACATAGAAATACTACCAAAACAACTTACTTGTTGGACGTACTGTGGGAAAGAATCGCCTAAACTTCGGAAGATTGTCAACAAAGCTTGCGCAATCTCTTTGTAGTATTGTGTGAAAGCTTCGTCTTGAACCTGGAATACCTTGTTAATTGAAGTGCGCAAATACCGGACACTAAAACTTACCATAACCATCAAATTGGCTATAGTTATTGCGGGATAAAACTCCTCCAATGTGCACTTTTCGTAATTGTACCATTGAATAATATCTGAAACCTAGCAGTTAACAATGAAGTGGATATTTTGATTTAAAAAACCTATGTATAACAAGACCTTGACGTGGATCAGCTGCATCTCGTGCCATAGGAAGTGACAATGCTGTACTGATGGAAGTTGCTGATTGAACTGCTCCAGTGAAGACCTAAACGATAGCTATGAAGAGAGAAAAAAACATGGGCAAGAAGGAATCAAAAAGGCGAAATCAAGGAAACAGAAAAAAGAGATAATTCAACCTTATGTGTGTATGGATCCAGAGCTCCAAGAATTCCTAGAGTGCTTATAGCCTGTCGACGCATCTTAGATGACATTTCCGTTTTCAATAACCTTAGACAGATAAAGATTAACCATGACTTTGATGGTAATACACTATGGACTTTAAACTTCACCTCAAAAGATCATCCAACAGATTCGGATAGTCTTTGTATGGATCAACGACGTATGCCGTAGAACGAGCAATTCGTCCTATAGTGCATAAAGCCGCCTAGATAGAGAAAGAATAATTCGCCTATGATAAAACGCAATTATATGGATGTGAAATGATGTAAGCTATAATTACGCACAGGTTTTGCAAGCAAAAAACTAACCTCTCTCCTCTGCAAACTACTCGAGTCATTTATCAATTGTGTGAGCTTCTGGAATAACGGATCAATGTTGCGGACGATCTCAGCTCCTCCTACGACACAGAGCTCCGAAATCGCATGTAAAACATGTACGGTAACATCAACATGCTATAAAGTAATTAAAACTGAGTGCTAAAGGTTTACAAGCCATAAAATCGTTACCTTCATTTCATTTCTCAGCTTCGGAAGTAAGGCTTGCAGCAGCGGACCTAAGTAAGGCCGCATAAATTTTGGACTTTGGCGAGCTAGCTGAGTCAGGAGACGAGCACTATGTTGCTCAAGCCTGGTAA